GCCACCGTCCCCTTCCCTAGACGACGATCAGCACTCCAATCATAGCGTAAGTTCTGAAGATTTGTCGGCACATCATATTCTATCTACTGCTTCTGAAAGTGACTCAGAAGACACCTCCACCCGCTCAACCACCCCTCCCGCTGCCCCTGCCTTCGCCATGTCAACAGAACTACACCTTTTACCAGATAAGTTCAACGGAACCCCTCAGGAAGACCCAGACAGGTGGCTGTCACATTTTGAAAATTACACCACCTATCGCAACATGAATGAAGCACAACAGCTTGCCTCCTTCCCTCTGTTGCTAAGAAATGCAGCTCTGGACTGGTTTGACACGCTGTCAGATCAGCAAAAAGGCTCCATTGACTCCTTAAAACAAGTTTTTAAGGAGCGCTTCAAACCTACGGAGAACTCCAGATGGGTTACGGTCTCAAGGTTATTTCATTAGACCCAAAAACCAGACCAGCCAGTTCAAGATTACATAGCTGAAATGAGACGCGAGGCCACGAAAGTCCAGCTCCCCACTGAACAAACCATTCAGGCAATACTGCATGGACTTCTACCTGAAATCAGGCCGTTCGTTGCTCAACATGCTCCGCAGACATCTGAGCACCTAGTCCAGCATGCCCGCCAAGCTGAGACCGCAGTTCAGCCTTCATCAGCCACGGTGACACTGAACGCCCTGAGCACCCAATTAGATGAAATAAAATCCACAATTACAAAGATGACAACACCACCTGAAAACCCTGCCCCTGCTCAAGCTCCAGTGCAACCACTCATTGAACGCCAGCTTCGACCGTCATGCAGATTCCAGTGGCAAAGCAATTTGCGTCAATCACCAGCGGTGCATAAACCAGATGGCAGGAACCTCAATCAGGCAAGGTCAGCAGCCCGACCCCCACCACAGAGGCCCACGTTCGGACAGCAACGAATGGACAGCAGAGGAGGACAACAGTGCAATGGCTGTGGTAATGTACACTTTCGTCAATTTTGTCCTTTTCGTCAAGCTGCATGTCGCAATTGTGGTAAAATAGGTCACATTGCCCGTGTTTGCCGTTCAAGCAGAAAGCAATGACGGTTACACTCACGAAAACACAATCAATCCGTAGGGGTACTTTCAAAACCACTCATGCAAAATTATATTTTTATCATAGTTCAGAACAAGAAATTTGATACCCTCATTGACACTGGTGCTTCCATATCATGCATATCTTGACCAACTTTGCGTTCCTTAGGTTATTCTGAATCCCAACTCAGCCCACCCATCGCCATTCAAAATGTCATTGGAGTTGGTGATGTTTCGCTTAAAATTTTGGGCACACTACAAGTCAATTTTCAAATCAACGGGGTCTCATATAAACATCTCTTTCATGTATTACCTACCCTCCCTCGACCAGTCATCCTCGGTATAGATTTTCTAGACAAGCACAATGCCAATCTTGATTTCCATTCCCGTACCTTCACATTGCAAAACCCTGATGTTTCTATCAATTTTACTCTTTCCGGTCAGTTAGGGTTTGCACGTGCCAATGTATACACAACTGGAGAGCCATATAGTGAAGCAATGATACGAGTGCATATATCACGCCTACCTGTAAATTCAAAGCAGCCCATTACCATTTTACTAGAGCCTGTCAGAAAATTACCAATGATACTTGGAGCAGCAACTGTAAATACCTTATCTTCATCTTTTTGTTACTACCGCATTACAAACCCAACCCCTGAGTGTATCACAATCCCTCGGAATACCATCCTAGCAAAAGCTTCCCCCCTAAATACATCCATGATAAACCCGATCAGCTTTACCCAATCTCCTCCACCACCCATTCCATTAATCAAAGAGGAAAATATTGAGACTGCATGCTCATTAAAAATTCCATTTGAAACGGCTCATTTGACAGCTATGCAAACAGACCAATTACTGTCCCTAATTGGAAGCAATAGAGACGTATTTGCCACAGATTTATCTGAAATCGGTCAAGTCCCCATCTATGAGCATGTCATTGACACAGGAGATAGCCCTCCCATCAAACAACGTTTTTATAGATCATCCCCACAGGTTAAGGCCGAAGTTGATCGACAAGTAGACCAAATGTTACAGCATGACATAATTGAACCATCCTCATCCCCATGGGCAAGTCCTGTTGTACTAGTGAAAAAGAAACAAGGTGATTTTCGTTTTGCCATTGACTATCGTAAATTGAATTCTGTCACCAAACCCATCAACTTCCCACTACCTAGATTGGATGACATTTTTGACTCCATTGCAGATTCAAAACCACAATACTTTTCCCTAGCTGATATAAATACAGCTTTCTGGACTTTGGCGCTATCAGATGATTCAAAAGAAAAATCATCTTTCGTGACCCATGGAGGTCAATATCAGTTCAAACGTCTTCCTTTTGGATTACGATATGCATCTCATAGCTATCAGTATGTGCTATCTAATCTCTTTATACACATGCACAAGAAAAATGTCATCATTTACATAGATGACATACTATGTTTCTCTAACACATTTGAGGAACATCTGAAACATCTACAGGAAATGTTTCACATACTGCGTCAGGCTAATCTTAAGCTCAAACCATCAAAATGCACGTTTATGGTCCCTAGAGTATTATACCTGGGTCATTACTTATCTTCACAGGGCATTGAGGTCGATCCGTCCAAAACTGAAGCTATAACCACATTTCCCAAACCCAAAAATGTGAAACAAACACGCAGTTTTCTTGACCTAATGAATTGGTATCGTCGTTTCATTAAAGGCTACAGCCTTATAGCCCGGCCACTTAATGACCTGCTCAAGAAAGATGTAGTTTTCAAATGGACACATGAGTGTGAAATTGCATTTCAAAAGCTTAAACAGGCACTTGTCACACCTCCTATCTTACGATTTCCAGACATGTCCAAACCTTTTCATCTCACCACAGATGCCTCAAACATGTCCTTAGGGTTCATTCTAGGACAGTTTGATGAAGCAGGTAGGGAAATTGTAATCAGCTATGGAGGTCGCTCTTTAACAGCAGCAGAGCAGTTATATCCCATCACACAATTAAAATGTCTAGCCGTTCTAGAAGGGATAAAATCATTTCACACCTATTTGCATAAACCCTTCACAGTTTACACCGACCACCAAGCCTTAAAATGGCTCAAAGATATCAAGCACACCACCCCTCGACTAAATAGATGGGCCATAGCATTACAACAGTATGATTACACCATAGTTCATAGACCAAGAACAAAAACCAAGCTGATGCACTATCACGCCGACCATATGACCACCCCTTACCAACAACAAAAGTTAATGTGCCAACCAGCTCTACTCCTCCATCAGATCCATTATCCCCAACTCAACCCCCGGCCATTAAGTCCACATTGCAACCCATCACCCCCAGCAACCATCACAAATCTTGTTCAAAAATTATCAAAGAAAACAATTTATGAGTCGAATCAATACATCATTGACAAAGTTATCTTGTTTCATGTTTATCAGCCTCGTACAAAATCTTCTTGTCAGTTAGACCAAAAAATTATCCGACAATTAGCTGTACCCACAGGCTACCGAGATGATGTTTTGCATGCTTATCATGACAGCTTAGCGGCTGGAGCACATTTTGCCTTTGATCGGACTTATCAATCAATCCGCAATCGATTCTATTGGCCCCGCATGTATGCAGAAATTTTACAATATGTCAAAACATGCGATCCATGCCAAAGTTGAAAAGAAATTATGGGCAACGTCCCACCCCCCTCCAACCACTCCCAATCGTTGGCCCCTGGGAAAGGATTCACATTGGTATCTTAGGTCCGCTACCCACCGCAAATGACAAATCGCGTTACATTTTAATGGTAGTTGACTCCTTCACTGCCTGGGTCGAGGCATTCCCATTACGTAGTCAAAAGGCTGAGGAAGTTGCCACAGTGCTATATGCAGAAATATTTTGTAGGTTTGGCGCCCCCTCTACAATCGTCACTGACAGAGCTAAAAATTTCACTTCGATTTTAATTCAAACCTTAAGCGATTTGTTCCACATTAAACGATCGCTCACGAGTTCATATCACCCGTGTGTCAATGGCACTGTAGAGAGAAAAAATGCCGACATTGCACAATCCTTGAGAGCCTACTGCAACAAAGAACAAAACAACTGGCCTTCCTTATTACCTGGCATACTAATGGCACTTCATGCAAGCCCCGCAACACAAACGACCACTTTTTCCCCTTATTATTTACTCTTTGGCAGGCCCATGCCCACCATCCTGGACTCTCTCATTCGTCCCCACGATTCTCTTCCAAACACAGTCCAAAACTACCTAGATAACATTCATAAAAAATTGGAAGATGCACGAAAAATCGCACATGATAACAGAGTGCATGCACAAACAAGATACACCCAAATACATGATAAAAATGCAGCACTACCACCATTTCACATTGGTGATAAAGTTTTAATGCGCAATGCCAAAGTTTAAAAGGGGCGAAGTCCAAAACTAACAACAAAATACGTAGGACCCTACTATATCACCCAACGAGTATCCAGTTTCACATATCGCCTACGCAGATGCAGCGATAATCATGTACACCCAGCACCAATTCACGCCAATAGGTTGAAACTTTATCATGATCCTCAAGACAGACCCCTGAGACCTAATGACCCCCTACCGAATCAAGTAAACGACCATGACCGTCGGAATACAGATGCTCCAGACCTACCCAACCCTGATGAATGGTATGAGAAGCTTTTAAAATGCAAATCAATTTGAGGTGTAAAACATGTTGGGGGTGGTCGGCTCATGCCCTAGTTAGATTCCACTTTACCAAAATAACACGATTCAGAGCTGGGCCTCTGAGGACGTGTATTTTGACAGCGCCCCTTGCATAGTTGAGAGCGACTTTTTGAGTGTGTAAGGCTTCTCGCCTTTATTATGAGGAAAGATCGTCTCTGATAGGAAGGTAGGTGTCTCACCTACATAGTATCTGATTTGTAGATACCGGNAGTAAAAAAGCCTTGAAAATTCATCTGTATCTACCTGTCTGGAGGGTCCATACGTCAACATGGAGGATTCAGAGGTCAACACAGAAGGAAGAAAGAGACAATTGACAGAAAAAGGGACAGAGCACTTACACAGTAAGATTAGTCCAATTACGACCAAGTTAGACAAGTTAAGTGCCCACATAGATACTGAACTTATGAACTTTAGCTGTTGTGACTTAAAGGAGATTGAAGAGATTCAAATTATTAAGGACAGTATCTGTACATTATGGAGCAAATATCAAGAAGTTTTCACAGAACTTAGTGGTGTCCTGAAGAGGAACCCTAGTGATTTTAGCGATGAAGAAAGAATGATAGCCCAGGGCAAATTTGCGTCAACACAGACTAAAGTGGACATGGTTATGGCAAAGATAGACAAATTTTTATTTGCTCAAATAAAAAGGCCTGGTTCAATCAAAAGTGAAAGGTCGATGCTATCTACCCAGTCCCTCCTAGCCCAACAAAAGGCCAAACTAGAGGCAGCCAGAGTGAGGCTAGATTATGCCCAAAGAGAAGCGGAATTTAAAAGCGTCCAGGCTGAAATGGAAAAGGCCAGTCAGGAAATGAAAACCAAAGTCAAGATCTTAGAGACAGAGAAAGAGCTGGCAGTCGCTGAGGCAGAGTATCAAGCTGTCAAGGAGATGAGTGAAGAAGACGATGATAAGGCGTCCAGTGTCTCTTTACAGAGAACCCGTACACAACGTACGAGAGCATATGTGGAGACTGGCCCTCACACGGGTAACAATATTCTCTCCCAAGCAGCTACGTTTCCTGCCACCAAGTTTGTTCCTAGTCGCAGTGAGATCCGTGCTCAGGAACCTAATACCAGTACTGGGAACCCCTCTACAGAAAGAATGTATTTAGCCACAGAATTTTCCAAGCACCTTCTCAGAAAGGATTTGCTTATGACTAGATTCATGAATTTCAATGACGAGCCGCAAGACTACCCAGCATGGAAAGAAAATTTTAAGTCGATAATTCAAGAACTCGGTGCCAATGACAGAGAACAGTTGGATCTACTAGTGAAATTTTTGGGACCTAAATCATCACAACAGGCTAGGAGTCTGCGAAATGCAAGTGCTAATGATGCTTCCTTAGCAATACGCAGGATATGGGAAAGACTTGAGGAAAGGTATGGCCGTCCTGAACTAATAGATGCTGCTCTCAAGTCAAAGGTTGCCAGTTTCCCAAAGATAAGTGGACCAAATGAGTATCCTAGACTGTACGAGCTGTTGGACATCCTTCACGAGATTGAATTTAAGAAAGAAGACCCTGCATATAAAGATTTGTTATGTCAGTGGGATACATCTACAGGGGTCAATTTAGTGCTGCATAAACTGCCCTTCTTTCTTCAGAATAAGTGGATCGATAGAGCAGCCAAATATAAATCCACACACTCGGTCCCATACCCACCCTTTGAAGACTTTGTAGTCTTTGTTAGAGAAATGTCTAGTCGATGCAATGACCCGAGCTTCTCCTTTTCTTTCCCGGCTCCTGCCATGGTCAAGAAACAACCTCCCAAATCCAAGGTGTCAACATTCAAGACGGAAGTTGCCAATCCACCCTTAGAAAGGGGAAGGAACCTGTGTCCACTTCATAATGTGGGTCACTCTCTGAATACATGCAGAGCCTTTCGCAAGAAATCCATTGATGAGCGTAAGAAGATATTAAAGGAGAATCACATCTGTTATCGTTGCTGTGAGACCAACATGCACCTTTTCCGTGACTGCAAAAACGAAGTTAAATGCCAGGTATGCGGCAGGACGAACCATGCCACAGCCATGCACATCGAAATCACAAGGTTGCAAGGTGACAGTGGGGAGACACCTAGTCCCAACGAAGACAGCATTACTACGAAATGCACCACACTCTGTGGAGAAGGTTTTTCAGGCAGATCTTGTGCCAAGACCATTTTGGTAAATGTATTTCCAGCGGGACAACCAGAGAAGTCCATAAGGGTATACGCAGTCCATGATGACCAAAGCAACAGAACTCTTGGTAACTCATCATTGTTTGATAAACTTCAGTTGGCCAGTGAGCAACGCCATTACACTGTGTCTTCATGTTCTGGGACATCGAGGATAACAACTAGATATGCAACCAATTTAATAGTTCAGTCTGTTGACAAATCTTGTGAAATCAAGGTGCCTAACATCATAGAGTGCAGCGTGCCAAATGAGAGATCCGAGATTCCTACCCCTGAAGTCACCAGTCACTTTGAACACCTGGCTCCTTTAGCGAACTCCATTCCTCCATTGGATACTACAGCTCAGATTGGTCTTTTGATCGGCAGGGATGTCCTTGAAGCTCATCATGTACAACAACAGATAGTTGGTCCACGTAATTCACCTTTTGCTCAGAAGTTGCCTTTGGGGTGGGTAGTCGTAGGTGAAGTATGTTTGGGACAGTTCCACAGACCAGATCTAACTGTGGTCAACGCTTACAAAACACATTTCACAAGAGGTGGACGTCCAACAATCATGAGCCCATGTACTAGTGGCATGATTATCAAAGATTCAGTTGCTCCTGAAGATAACATTTTCAAGACTACAAGGCTAGATGAGCGTGTTGGTATGTCGCAGGATGATGTTGCCTTCCTGACCGTAATGGAAAATTCTATGGTCAAGGATGCAGATGGACACTTGAAGGCTCCTTTGCCTTTCAAACATCCGAGACCTACTCTTCCCAATAACCGACCTCAAGCGTTGAGGAGGGCAAGACTTCTAGCAACCTCATTGAAGAAAAACACCCAAAAAGAAAAGGACATGGTGGAGTTCATGGGTCAGATTATTGAATCTAGAGCTGCAGAAGAGGCGCCGAAGCTTGCACCTGAAACGGAATTTTGGTTCTTACCGCTCTTTGGAGTTTATCATCCAAGAAAGCCGAACAAAATTAGAGGGGTCTTTGATTCTTCAGCAGAATATGAAGGGCTTTCATTGAACAGCGTTTTACTTTCTGGGCCAAACCTCACGAATAGCTTATTGGGGGTGTTGTTACGGTTCAGAAGAAACAAGGTTGCAATTACAACAGACATTCATCAAATGTTTTATTCATTCCGGGTGAATGAAGAGCATCGAAACTTCTTACGTTTCTTCTGGTTCAGGAATAATGACCCTAGAGAAGATATGATAGAGTACCGCATGAGAGTGCACGTTTTTGGTAATACACCTTCACCAGCAGTGGCCACCTATGGGCTCCGAAAGGCAGTTGAAGATGCGGAAGATGATGTACGGAACTTTGTACACAGAGATTTCTATGTTGATGATGGACTTGCCTCGTGTCCAACTGAGTCGGAAGCCATTAGCCTTGTAAAGAGGACCCAGGCGACGTTACAAAACAATGCCAAGATAAAGCTGCACAAGATCGCATCGAATTCTCCAGCAGTCATGAAAGCCTTTAAAGCAGAAGACCTTGACAAATCCCTGAGATCTATAGATTTGTTTGAAGAGGAGTTACCGCAGCAAGCCAGCCTAGGTCTTGTCTGGGAATTAAAGGACGATGCGTTCATCTTCAAGCTCAACATGCCAGAGAGACCACCTACGAGAAGGGGAATTCTATCAGCAATCAGCAGCATATTTGATCCCCTAGGTTTCCTCACTCCTATCACTACAGGTGGTCGAATTCTTCTTCGTGAGATTACGGAGAGTGGAGTAGAGTGGGACCAGCCACTAGTTGAAGATTTGAAGACGAAGTGGGAGGCTTGGAAAAGCTCATTGAATTTGGTAGTAGATCTACAATTTCCACGCATGTTTGTGCATAACTCGTGGTGTGAAGCAGATTATCTCAAAGTCCACGTCTTTGCCGATGCCTCTGAAAGTGCCATATCGGCAGTAGCCTTCGCTCAAGTAGTGTTTGGACAAGAGGTTCAGTCTGGTTTTTTGATGGGGAAGTCAAAGCTTTCACCCCCAGGAGGAACAACGATTCCTCGTCTAGAGTTATGTGCTGCCGTCCTGGCCACAGACTTGGCAGATACCGTCAGTGGGTTTTTGGATGTAAAGCCAGAAGATTTTGTGTACCACTCTGACAGCAAGGTTGTACTTGGGTATTTGTACAATCGAACAAAGCGCTTCTATACATACGTGTCCAATAGGGTGCAGGCAGTGCTCAAGCGCTCTAAAGCCCACCAGTGGCAGTACATTCCATCCCAGAAGAATCCAGCTGATTGCGGTACCAGAGGTAATTACCCAGTCAAGGATTTTACGCACAGTCTTTGGATCAATGGGCCAGACTTGTTAAGATGTGAAAACATCATCACTTCTCAAACCCATGACTTAGTGAACCCTGCAAATGACAAAGAAATCAGACAAGAAATCTCTGTTGCGAAAATAGCCGTCACCTATGATTTACAATCAAAATTCGAGAAGTTCTCAACCTGGCCGTCGCTGATTAGAGCATTTTCTGCATTGAAGAGACGTTGTAGCAAGCGTCCAGAATACAAGGAGAGCCCTAATCTGAAAACTATTGAAGAAACTGTGAAAACTGAGAACTTACTCATCAAGGTTTCGCAGGATGCTTGTTTCCCAAACGAAATGTCGGCGCTGCGAGAAGGTCAGCCTCTTTCCCATAGGAGCTCGATTCTTGCTTTGAGTCCCTTTCTAGATCAAGAAGGGATTATGCGAGTAGGGGGGCGCCTGAACCAAGCACCTGTTGCCTTTGACGAGAAACATCCAGTCATTATCGATGGAAAATCGCACTTTGCCAAGTTGCTGGTAGCACATTTCCACAGAGAAGTTTTCCATCAAGGAAGACTAATAACAGAAACAGCCATTAGAAAAAGGTTTTGGATAACAGGAGTCAAGAGGATCATTTCCTCCATGATATACAAGTGTGTTCCTTGTAGGAAATTGAGAGGTCGAGTAATGAATCAACAAATGGCAGACCTCCCAAAGGACCGACTTACTTCTGGGCCCCCCTTTGCAATTGTAGGAGTGGACGTCTTTGGACCATGGTCAGTTGTGGCACGTAGAACCAGGGGTGGTATGGCAGAAAGCAAACGGTGGGGAGTTCTGTTTACTTGTTTATTTACAAGAGCCGTCCACATCGAGTTGGTAGAGAGCATGAGCAGTGACGCTTTCATTAATGCCATGAGAAGATTTGTTGCCATAAGAGGTCCCGTCACCGAGTTCCGATCTGACAGAGGGACTAACTTTGTAGGAGCATTAGAAGATGTTCAAGCACAAGGAATTTTTGTGGAAGGCGGTCCTGTTCAAGAGTACCTAATCAAACACAAGATAATCTGGAGATTCAACCCTCCACATGCTTCCCACATGGGAGGGATTTGGGAGCGCATGATAGGGATAACCAGAAGGATTTTAGATGGCATGTTTTTGAACCGATGTCAGAAACTTACCCATGATGTGTTATGTACCTTGATGCATGAAGTTAGTGCTATTATAAATTCTCGCCCGATCGGCCCAATATCCACAGATCCAGATTACCCTGAGGTTATTACCCCTGCCATGCTTCTTACCCAGAAGACGGAAGGGTTGCCTGCACTCACTGATTCAGTCAACTTGCGAGATATATACCGATCTCAATGGAAACATGTCCAAGTTTTGGCCAACACATTCTGGAAAAGATGGAGACAAAGCTACCTGCAGAATCTACAATCAAGATCCAAGTGGCAAATCAAACAACCAGACTTGAAGGAGGGTGACATTGTTTTGCTTCGTGACATCAATTGTAGCAGAAATGAATGGCCTATGGGACTTGTAGTGAAAACATTCCCGAGTAAAACTGACAAGGCAGTTCGTACAGTGGAAGTACGAGTAAAAGGAGGGAAAACATTTGTGAGACCTTTAACTGAATTGATACTTCTTGTGGATTAATGAGAATAGTGCTTGGGCAACAGACATTTTCAACTGTAGTGTTATTAGCTGGGTTCATTATAGTTTATTAGTGATGTTTACACATCAAGTGGGGAGTGTGTTGCCCCCGACTTTGATTCCTTGTTTTGAACTGTACCAGATGGTTGATAGAAATTAATCAGGTTAAATTTCATTTGTTTATGTTTTTAGCTTACATGTTTATTTTAAATTCACAGTGTGTGGTATCTAGTGAGTATTGCACGTAATACAGATTCATTCTCATTTTTTGTGCCACCTAGTCTTGATATTAGTTGTGTCCAGGAATGCGGTGTTACTCACGATCAGGCCATTTTATGTCACTGTTTCTTTCAAGTTACTTTTATCTATCATTGAGGCTCCAAGGCGTAAGTTCATTGCTTTCTTTACTTTATATACAACATGTAGATTATATTTAGGTTGTATTTAGTTTTTTATTTGTACGTATATGTTCCTTTAGAAGCAGTTAAAGTGCTCTAGCATTTCTGCCCATGCTTTCTAAATGTAGGTCATACATTGTTTTACCGTATTATAGTTAAAATTTCGCGCGCACAAAATATTTATGTTGTCATTATTTGGTAATCTTCAAATACTTCATTTGTTTATTAATGCTCTTTGTAGCTTTTATATATAGATATTTTTGAAACATACTTAGTTTCTGTTTTGTATTTTCTCTTCTAGTTTTTTACGGTGATGTACAATAAAGATAGCTTACATCAATACCGTTGTCTGCTGTCATTCCTCTGCGTCCAATAGGAAGTGGCAGTACATAACCAATAATTTATATTAGTGATCACTAGATGTGGGTTTGTGATTGCAAATGCTAAATTAATGCCTTGAACTGTGTTCATGTCATGTTGCGAGCATCGCAATGTACATCTTGAACAAACAATATGGCCAATTTTATTCAGGCCTCTCCTTGTTTACATAAGGGTTCTTTTTCTTGACTTTGAACAAAAGATTCAACGTACCTCAAAAGATTCAAGGAACCTCAAATAAAGGTTTTGGAAGAGGAAAAAGAATAACGTTTTTTTCCAATTTCTTTGTCTATGATGAAAGAGAAAGGATTCCTGACTTTCACACTGAGGCCCAGTAAAAGTATAAAACAAATCAAACTGATGTATTTTTATAATTTACTATTTATACCAATAGCATGTAATTATATAGGAGTAATGCCTTCTCGAAAATGTCTGGCACATTCTAATGGGCTGAACAGGAAGATCAGCCGACTTGTGCTTCACGATATATGTTGTGACACGTACAACAAATATTTTTATGTTCCCTCCAAGAAATCACAGTTCAAGTAATTAATTCAGCATTCAAGATCACAAACCTGTGGCTCAGGATCACAACTGCAATTTCTTTACAAGGCCTGTATATGAAATGGTCTGCTGAGATAGAACAAACGAAGTTCAGTCACAATTAATCTGGAAATGCAGCCACAGCCAAGAGTGAATAGCACTCACGTGCATTATCAATTTATTAATTTTATTCAAGCATGAAAATTAATGAATAACATCTCATAACAGAACATAAATATTAAAAAAATATCTGAACTATCCTAATGCTTTTTT